TTTTACACAAATATCTGTACTTTCTACTCCGGAAAGTGAGTACTTTTGCCATCTCTGTAAATCACCAATTATCCATACACCTTTCTTTAACCAATGTGACCAGTAAATTGACTGTTTACCGATTTTGATCTTAGGATTATGCCACAGGGAAGCATATCTTTGGGTATATGGAGAAAGCGCAAGTTTTTTGTGGACCAATTGCCACACCATTTTTGAGAATTTTAATATAGGTTTTTCTATTTTATTCTGTTTATTATCTATCTTTTGAGGCAATACCTCGATAGGGGTGAACGGAGAGGAAAGTTCCCGCTCTATTGAAACCCAGTCTAAATCTGATTTAGTTTCTGGCCAATGTTTGCACATCTTGGACATTTCAAATGAAATGCTATAATGTTCTATGTTTACTTTCTAACTTTAAATATAAATTATCATATTCCATTGGTAATGTGTGCTACCTACTTAAATCAAAGGAAAATTTGCTTTTTAGAAAGGAAAAAAAAAGTGTTATATTCAATTTTTCGTAGTGTATGCTTTCAGCACAGGGACCATAGCAGGAACCAGGACCAGTTGTACGGGAGCACTGGCCCCTGTTGGCCCATGCAAGCCCTGCAACAGAAACGCTCTGATCTTGAGAGTGGATTAAAAAAATTATTTAAATGAATCAATTAAAAAACAAAAGATTTCATTGGTAGCCTAATTATATAATCTCTAACAAGTAACCTGACATCTAAAAAAAAATATTTCACACAGTGTGCTTTTATTTTAGCTCATTGCTTAGTCTGGAAGTAAAGTCCGCACCTGTTGCTGCGCTCTTCAAGTAAAAGTTATTACTGTCGGTTTATCTCAAAAGTACCTTGTTGGAGGACAGCTTCTGAAATCTGTCAGAACTTTTTTTTTTATAAATTTTTTTTGTCTTATTTCCCCATAAGCTTCCTCTTCGACTGTGCAAAAAATTAAAAATCTACGTAATCACCAAGAAGTCAAAATTTCATCATCTTTAATGGTTCGAGTGCGGGATTTCCAATTTCCGAGGGATGCTTGAACTCATCACAAACATCCAGCTGACATCAGCGGTGAACTTTTCCTCAGGAGTTTCTACTGGAGCGACGCTGGCCGTGGGATGCTTGGGGATAATTTAGGAAGATAAATATGTGAATGGAGCGGCAGCTGTGGCGGAGGAACATTCCCTTTTTACACGATAAATAAAAGAAATGGCGAATTCTAGTGCTTTTAATGAGAGCGCTCCTTTGATTTCCGCAGAAGCTTTCCGAGCGGAGATGATGGAGAATCCGCTCCAGGTGAGTTCAACTTTCAGCAAAGTTCCTGGAATAGACCTGAGATGATGCAGGATGAATGATGTGGCGTTATAACTGATCAGGAATGAATGCATGCATCTTATTACTGTCCGTTTGCTTTAAGACAAATTCTAATGTTGACCTAAGGCACAGCTTATTCTCTGTTAGGGCCTGTTTGGAGATCAGTTAACACACAGAACAAAAATAGAATTTAAAACCTGTACAGGCAAAATATTTATTATATCCACCTCTAAAAATACATTATTGTTTCCCTGTTCCTAATTATAGGAACAGACAAATTAATTATTGTATTAATAAGAATATATATATAGAGATATATCCATCCATTATCCAGGCGCGCTGGAAGCTGTTTCAA